TGTTTAGCATTTAAATAATTATCAAATAAGTATTATATTGTGATGCGTTAGGTACTTGTGTTCTGTATTATTATTTATATAGATTTTAAAATCTATCGTATTCTAGGAGAATTATTTATTTGGTTACTTTGCTAAAAATTATAAGATTAAATATTTATTTAATTTTCGTAAACCATAAAATAAAATATTCAGTTCTTTTTTATGATTTTTTTTTTTTTTTTATTTTAAACCAACTGAAGATTTGTATAGAATTAAAACCCTCTTGTACAAACACGATTATATAATAAGCATTATCAACCCAAATTTACTATACAAAAGTTAATCTTACGAATTTAACATTTACAAAATTTCGCAAAATATTTTGATTTACTTTGTAACCCGCTGTTTGTACATAAAAATGTCGTTTTAATTAACAAAATTAAAGGTTTTAACGGTAATAGTTAATTATTTCGTTAATTTTAATTAAACATGTAATATTAACGAATAAAAAAGTGTTTTATATTAGTTAAAAAAAAACCATGTTTTCTCAGATTTTAAGTAAATTTTATTTATATTATTTAATGCAATGAGAAAAAATACCTATGTTAAGTTAAAGATAATTTATTTTAATTGAAATGTGATATGTACAATGTAAATAACTTAACTACATTTGTTTATAAACTTCTTATGTTGGACATGTATAACTTTATTATGTTCGCTATATTCAATAAAGATAGATTAAATTTGATTATGAGTTATGACAAAATGTATATTAATTTATTAAAATTGTTGGTAACTCGTTTATGGTAGGTAAACGGATTTTGATTTTTTAAATATTCTCAAATCTAAATTTTATACAGAATTTTATTAAGTTATAATCTAAATTCTTAGATAAATTGTGTATTTTATGCAAAATAAATAGTAGTCAAAACGGAACATATTATATTTTACATTTACACCATTTACAAGTATTGTTAACTAATTATCATAAAGACATTAGGATTAGAATAATCGATAAACCGTCTTAGCAATATTGTAGAATTGGATATTTTTAAATTTCCTATATTGTTATCATTTATCGGCGTTTATATGCATTAGATTTGCAGGATTTGGTTAATAGATTATAGTCACCAAATTACACCCAAAATAAAATTGTTACAGACAGTGGAGGATCGCCAAATTATTACCCTAGATTTAGAGCTTTATTTAAAAATAATAAATGAAAAGTAGAAAACATGAAATCGCGTTAAATTTTATTTAACGTTTATAACTAATTATTAATTAGACTGCCTTAACGTAAAATATAGTTGATTTTGTTTGTATAAATTAAAAATAAGGTTTATATACAGACAAAGTTCTATGTCATAGGCAATCGTATTTATCTGTAAAGTAAGATGCATCGTGCATGTTATCGCTTCTGTATCAGTTTCATTTGTTACGTTTATCGTGGTTTTTAAGTTGTATTTTGGTGAACGTGTCGGAATCGTTCAAAGTGTATTAGCCGTTGTAACGCTTCTCAAGTCGCTGATGTAATAACTATAATTATTAAGACCGGCAGAGAAGAACGTGCACGTGTCAAGTTAATTTGTTCAAAACTTGGAAGACCCAGGAGTCCCGCACGAAACCACTAAGTCGGCTTGTAGAGACAAAAATACATATAAACTATAATAGCTGTAATAATAAATGATATTGCTATCATATAACTCAAATATACACCGTGAGATCTATGAAAAACGACGGAGTGATAAACATGTTAACATTATGAAACACAATGTTTGATTAATATTCGAATCGTGTACGTGAAAACGTAGTATAATATAGTTTATTAAAATATTATAATGCATATCATGCGAATTTAATATTTTAAATGACCTCTTTTATAATATTTTTCATTATAGTCAAATCAAAACCGTCGTGGCGATGTCGTGTGCAGGTGTGTATTTTTGTGGTTGTAAGGTTAAAGAGATCATAATTCAATGAAAATTAAATTTAAATTTGAATGATAATATTTTTTTACTCTTCGTTGTTATGGGGAAACTAAACTGGATGTTTTTTCTTCTGAAACACAAAAAACCTTTTTCTTTGTACAATATTAAAATGTAAACCAAAAATATTTTATTTATGTGCGACTGAGTTTATACTTAAGCTCCTGCTGTGTGTAAGAATTTTATTTAACATGATTAAATCGTAATGTGTATTATTGCATGTTGAAAAATAAATTTTTGATTCACCTCGAAAGAAAATGAATCAAGTGGGTTCTATCTAGGGAATAGAATTGTATAGGTAGTCTATCATACATATTTTATTTACATATGGCTTTATCACTTGTGGTACTTACATGAATTAAATTACAATTTGATTGATTTATTGAAAAAACACGACACCTTTATATTTTTACTGACTACGTATTCATATATCGAATAAGTAAATATTAAATTTATACAAATACGCCATAATATAAGAACACTAGACACATATCTAGGTTTACATATTTGATCTCATTGGCTGCTGTATACAATAAAATATGTGGTTACAATATATAAACTTACTTTGGAATCGAATACCCCTCAATTTCAAAGAAGTTTTACATTTTCTTATCTCCATCAACTCTTATTTTACCTAAAGTTCCTATGCATTATTTTGAAAATAATAGTAATAATACTAACAGTGGCGTATTTACGGGGGGGAGGGGGGTTCTCGGGTCTCGACCCCCCCCAGAAAAAAATAATATTAATTTATATTATGTGTTTTTAATGTTTGTATATAATATATTTTAAAAATAACTTGGGTTTAACTATTAATTGACATTTATTTTCATAATAATAGTGAAATACAATATAATATAAATAATATCATTATTAAATCATAACTGTATGTACTTATATTTAATATTAAGAGAACCCCCAAAAATTGAAAATACGCCACTGAATACTAATAATAAAAAATAATACATAGTTACAATGTATATAATATTAAGATGTGACTTATAGATATTTATTAAAAGTATTATTTTAATTTCAAGAATAGTTATAAAATAGTAAATGGATAAATATGCATAATGTATACATTTTTCTTGACAAAGAATAACTCTTAAATCAAAATGCATCAGTGAATTATATTTGTTGCTATATGACGTGAAGTATTGTGTTTGAGAAATATACTTTTTAATTTGTTGGTGATGTTTTTATTAAATAATAATAATTGTTAGTGATTTTATAAATATTAAATCAGACTATTTTCAAACATATAGCCCACTAAATTTGTGACTTAATTAACGTTTAATAGATTTATACATATAGTCAGTATCAAAATACTTAATCGGGGGAATAAAAAAATTAAAAAAACGATGATAATTTTTACATAAAATCTGATTTTGTTGTTTTGTCGTAATTAAAAATTAAATAATTTAGATTTTACACAGTAACATTCTCTAGGTATAATAAAAATTCAAAAATATTTTGACTTTTTTGTGCTGTATATAATCATTTGAAATTGTTAACTTAGTTTTTTTCCAATCTTTGTATACGTGTGATCATATTTTTGTTCGTGAATAAGAATTATTAATAATTTAATACATGGTTTTTTATAATTTGTTTTTATACAAATAAAAAATATAAAAAAATACAACCACAGTGTAAAAATATTATACTATTTGTAGCTGTTAATAACACGAACTTATTCATACTGTTCTTCGGTACATTGGTATTAATTTATAAATATCATAGAATTTAAATTTGACATTTTCCTGATACTGATCCACTCAATAACGAGGTAATTTGATACCTACTTTAATAAGTAAAGCAGAGAAACTTGTATTTAATTTATTTTTTTCTATGTACATTATATATATTATTATTTTTAATTTGTTAAAGAGCAATTGTCTATTTTTAAAACAATGATATTATTATAGTTTACTATAAAACAAAATATAATAAAAATCTAAATAAATATAATGTAATATGAAGAAATAAAATATTATACTTTTTTTTTTTTTTTTTAACTTTTATTTTTAATACATATAATCTATAAATAAGTTTTACAATAAGTATGTTTGAGGATTTACATTATTAGCATAGTTGACATGATGAAGTAATCACCTAGCGGTAACACTTACTGGCTAGAGATTTAGAGTTATTTCATTTCAGGTTACGGTTCCAATTTTGTTTTAACCTTCTAGATGGGTTTCCAAGAATGGATTTAAAGTTTAGAGCAATGATTAGAGGGTTATATTATACTTGAATAAAATAGAAAGGATATACCTTTTTTTATAAATGTTGTAACAAAAATTTTAATATATTTTTAACTTTTATAAATTTTTGCAATATTTTATGAAATTCATATCTTTACAAAAATGTAATGTTTTATATATATATATATATATAACCACTAGTCTTATCCTCAGTGACTTTTAATATTTTTAAGTACGTATCTATACTTGAGTAAACAATAGACCGTGGTTAAGATTTATACTCAACCAAATTCAAAAAATGTTCATCAATTATTATTTGTTCTACATAATTTTTAAATATCGTTTATTCAATAAAAAGCGTTATGGTTATATTTTTTTATGGTCGAAAGACCTCTTGCGAAGTAAAAATTTTATAACATCGCTATCTTGACCGACATTTTTTTTGTTTTGCGTTAACTATCCGGTATGTATTTTTTTTTTTGTTTAAAGGTCAATGGATATATTTTTGATATAAACCGCTCTTGAAAATTAAAGAGCGACCTTGTCTGGACCTTAGGTATAGAGAAAAAAAATAAAAACATCAAATAAAAATAGCCTTTTTTTTCTAGGGTTATACTTGCCCGGCGTGATATATGCGATTATTGTATTAGCATAATGCATTAAATTTTAGATTTACGTTTTCATTCAAAATTTTCGGTAAACCTAACAAAATATTATACAATATCATAGTTTTGTTAACATTATTATCATGCGCGTGATTAAAAACTATGCTTTTAAAATTTAAGGTGATTACAGAAATATACATAATTGTTTTTTTGACGACTTTTCGCAGGTTTTGGCCAGAAAATATGCCTGTCGGACGGCTCGTGGTTCAAGCATCCGGACAGCAACAAGACGTGGTCCAACTACACTACGTGCGTCGATCTCGACGATCTAAAGGTCGGTGCTGTAAAAATATCTCAGTTTTCATTTCTGATGCCGTGAAAAGGTGGTATTGAACGCTCATCGTTCACCAATTCCCACCCCTATTATTATTATTATTATTATACCACGACAACGTGGCATTATCTATATGTCTCATTTTTACCAACCCTTAAACAATTGCCCACATCCATTCCCTGACACGATTTATAGGCCGACAGCGTTGACTGCCGTGACAAATTGCCGCACTTTTACTCACCGCCGTCACGACGTACACAATGGGGACTTGTGATAATAATATTTTTATATATATATGTATTCATTCATATAATGTATATTTTGCGTGTATACACATTATTATTATTACGTTGTAATAATGCGTATTCATCGAGAATTTGGTAGGTACATTGTAGGTAAGCTAGTCCATTGTCCGAGTCGTATGTATTATACACCTGTGCGCGTAATTGAAACCGCCGCGGATATTTATCGTTCGAAAAAAGCCGTCGACGCGCCGAACAATATACGCAACGGCAATAACAACCATATACGATAATAACGCGTGCGTACATTATTGTATCATTACCAATGCTGTGAAGTGTGTACCTATCAATTGCCATTGTGTGTAAATTGTATATGGTATTATGTACATATCATATAGTGCGCGCCGCCGTCAAAATTTTATGGACATAAGCGCAGTTTGCCTCAAAGTGGTAATTATTTTTTATGCTGATTCCCCTTCAAATTATTTAGATCAAAACGTACCAATTTTTCCAACATGTTATATATTGCATGTCATAATTATTATTCGTTGTGTAGGGGAGGTAAATACGTGACACTGCCGTGGTATGACTTCGTGTACGCGGCTGTATAAATATTACTAATATTAGTATTAACTATTGAAAATAAATTAAATCATATACTCGGAATACAAGAATAATTAATGAAATATTTTCGACGATAGCAATATAAGCGGCACGCATTATAATTTGTTAAAAAATAAATTTGAATAAAACATATACCCATTTTTTTTTTTTTTTTTTTGTAAAATTATTAAATACCTTATAATAGATAATGTTTAATTTATAATTTTTGTTGTATTAATGATTAACAGGTTTTACGAAATTCACTAATATTTTTATTTTCATTTTTTATATAACAGAATTGATTGGTACATTCAGTTGAGGAAAACTGGTATACACGCATTACTCAATTATATTACTCTTGGCAATAGGTTTATATTTTTAAGTACTTCTTCCCTACAGTCAAACTTAAATAATATATTTACCAAAACCGACATAATTTTTTTTGATAAGAGTTTATGTATAATAATTTTATTTAACAAAACTTTTACACCAGCTTGCAATGTCTCAGTTTTATTAATAAATAACAGGAAAATTGTACGTTCAGAAGAATCTATTTAATCCTTGTATGCTAATATTGCAATGAATTTATTTATTATTAAATTCAAACGTAAGAATATTATCTGGTGAATCTCATAATTTTTTTGTAATTTAACTATTTAAGTGAGTTATGAAAATTTGAATATTCTAAATTGTTCGTATATTTTAACATTTACATAATTCACTTAAAAAAAAAAAAAAAAAAATATGCATGTATAAGAAATGAATAAATTTAATATGAGATTATTTAATGTACAATTTGCCATGTTTGCCTTGTTATGCATTAATAAGACGAGAGACAAACTTAGCAGGTGTAGTGTTCTCTTAAAGAAAATGCTTTTAATTTGTATGTGTGTATATGTGTGTGTGTGTGTGTGTGTGTGTGTGTGTGTGTGTGTGTGTATTAATACATTTAATTTATTGATGCTTGTGACCTATTTTCGAACTTTGCCAAAAAGAATAAAGGGCTAGGTTTTTATTTAGTGTTTTTTTTTTCTAGTTGAGGAATCAAGTCAACATGATTTACAAATGGGGATACACGGTATCGCTAGCTGCATTGGCGGTTTCCATTTTCATATTCTTTTATTTCAGGTATTACGCTGCACGTATTTTATAATAAAATTGTATAATAGATCGTAGTCGTCATCACTCTCTCAATTTATTACTCACCATATATAAAGTGCAGGTATACTGGCTTGGCTACGTGCGTGAAATGTTTTAATATTTTCCACAAAAAGGTATTCGTGGAAAAAAAATATCATCCGTTTTCCATAAAATATCTATATAATATTATAATTTACATATTTAACGGTACATGACGTAAATTATTGGTCAGCACTTTAAATATTAGCTGCTGTTGGAGACGTCTAAAATCACAAGTTATTTAGCGTATAGTATAGGTATGTAATTGCTTTATATTTCGTGCATTAAACTTTACATTCATAAAATTTGTTATTATAATCTAGCCAACTAGATTGAAACAAGAGATTAAAATCATTTTAATTTTATAAAATTAACTGTTGACTGTTATTTCATTCAATAGTTTAAATAATTATTTTATTTACGATTTGAACGTCAAACAAACGACTCTTCTCAAATCCCTAATGCAATCAAATTTTCGCGAAACGAAGTATTTTTACTACCGCGGGCATTGCATATTTTTCACAAAAGAAAAACATTTTTCTTACACAACATATCAAGAAACATTTTTATATTTCGCGGATCAACTCTTTAACTAAAATCAACTCCTATATTAAGCCCCTGAGGACAAAATACTACACTTCGCAAAGGCATCTTTAAAATGGGAAATTTGCTGCTTGTATACATTACATAATGTTTGTTTGGTTTTGTGTCCGAAATTATTAATACGATGCGTATGGTGGAGTTGGTACAGTTGTAGTTGTCCATGTGTAAAGGAAATAGTCTAGCAATAACACTATTGATCGAAACATGAATTTAAGCACATAAACGTATCTATAACACTAATAATATAGTAGTCTCGGTTCGCACACAGTTCTCAACCTGTGGAATACGTCAGTAAATATAAATAACCACCAGTTGCGCGATAAATAATTATTTTAGTTCACGTTGGAATACGCATATTTACTTTGAAATAAGGTGAAAGGTCACATTAAATATTTCGATTAGCTATCATATATTTTTAAAAAGTTTTTTTTTTTTTTTAAATTTAAATTTATATGTATGTAAATTATTATGACAAAATTATAACTGCACAACGTGTAAAACTAGTCATTCGTTTCTTATTTTGTGTTGTTGGTGTTAGTTTAACTATTAATAATTCTATCATTGATGAATTAATTTAATTATTTGTATTTGTCTTAAATATAAATATAACTCATATCATATTAAAAAAAAAAGAGATAGGTTAAGGGTTGTAGTCATAATAATCGTAAAATTTGTACTCGTGATAAATAATAATGATAAATAATTGTTAAAAGTATGATATATAATATTATAATAATTGCTAAAAATGTTATTTATTTATTGGTTTATTAAGTTAATGCCAGGTAGTTCAAGTACCTACTGTATTTTTAGTATATAGTTTTTAATAGAGATGAATAATAGAAAGATATGTTATGGTTATATTATACTCTGGAAATATATAAATTCAAACCCTTTATATACCTGTAACTGTATGCAAGTATTTAAATTAAAATTAAAAAAACATACTATAAAATTTATTTATGATTAGGTAAGCATTTAAGTAGGTATTTCAAATCATTTAGAGAATAATTATTTTCAATGCTGTAGATAAACCTTGAAATATTACATTTTTTTCCCGTAAAGTAAAACATTTTTATTTTAACAACAGCTTGCTTTATTTTTAATTATTTTAAATAATCAAGTTAATCTGCATAAGCTTTTAGTAAAACTATATTTTAATGTATACTAGTCAACCATCATATTCTCTTTTCTCTGTAAAATATTTTATACCTAATTATATTATTATGTTACAAGTTTATTATCCATTGAATCTTCTGTTGATTTGTGTTTGTGTAGTATAGTAAACTCAATAATTTTAATTATTTTAGAAATTTCAAATTTTATACAAATATATATACACACCATGGTAGTAATTTAAATATAATAAGTCATGTTTCTCATCAAAGTATAATTTGTATATAATATGTATACAGTGTACAGTATTTAGTGTGTATAATTTATAAAGTAATTGCATTATAAGTGTTTTAAAAATGTATTAAAATAACAGATAACAGTATGACATTTTTAAAAGATTTATGAAAAAAAGAATGAAATTCTATGAAGGTGACCATTTAAATACGAATTTAGGAGAAAAAAGTAGAAAGTATTCAGTTAAACAAATTTATTTCAGAAATAAAGTGATGTAAAAATGATTTAAGGTTTAAAGTGAAACAAAGAATGTATTGTTTTAACATGTTTTTATCATTTTTTTTGTGAATACTTTTTAGACTGAAAGAATACAAAAAAAAAAAATGATGCAGCAATTTTAAGTATAAAAAATCGTGTCTTGATGGTCTTTTGAATAGTTCATATCTGATTTTATTTTTTTAAATTGTCTGTAAGCTTAAAGAAATACTACTTTCAAAAACCATTTAACTTTCGTTATGCTCTGTTCAAGATCGTGTTTTGATTATGATCTATTATTGGTTTCGAAATTCACAATACTTACCATTATTATGCATATAGACGAGCAAAGCAAAATAAATGCAAAAATCTGGTTTTAGAATGCGGTCCATCTGTTTAAGTAAATTTTTTATAATGCAGCAATAAAAGTTTTCTTTAATAATACATTAGCCAGTATTATTTTGAAAAACATTTGATATTGTTTACTATCCACAATATTTCTAAATAAAAAACCCAATTTTTATTGTTTAAAATTTGAATTGCTCGATGTGTATAATATATATCGACGCTTTACTGCAGTTATATATGAAATTTTTTCCAGGAGCCTCACGTGCACTAGGATACAGATACATAAAAATCTGTTCATATCGTTGGCAGTCAATAATTGTCTGTGGCTGGTGTGGTACGAAGCGGTGGTCGACAATTTGCCGGTACTGATGACGAACGGGGTAAGTTCAGGATACTAATCGACAAAACGAGATCGTGACATTTTATTTGGACAGATGTCGAATTTATATTTATTTTTCCAATTACACAATAATATTTTTATCATTATTGTGAGAAAACGATTTATGGTCGTTAACGTGCCGTAATTTTCAGCTGGGCTGCAAATTGCTGCATGTTTTGGTTCAATACTTTCTGGTGGCTACATACTTTTGGATGTTTTGTGAGGGTCTGTACTTGCACACGCTGTTGGTTGTCACGTTCCTTACCGAGTCCAAAGTGATGCCGTTCTTGCACACGATAGGCTGGGGTATACCGGCCTTATTGGTGTCCACATACGCGGTTCTCCGGACAACCACTCCTGGCGAGACTTTACAGTTAGTACGTTTTAGATTATACGATATAGTGTAGGTATTTTATACAGTAGTGATTTTTAATTTAATATAGTGAAATTCACTATTTATTATTTCATTTAATATCGCCCGAAAACCATCGGTTCGTTGTAATACCTTCTTACTAATAAAAATAAATATGACTCGTAAGCATTTATGGTCAGATACTGCAATAATTGTTATTGCTTATTTCACTCAGACAGAAATAACTATTGAGACAATTGTAGGAAAGAATGTAAGAAATTTCGTGGAATGTGCATTTAAAATCTACTTTTCACAAATTTTATATTTTTGTTAAAAATATAAAGATTTTTTGCATTAGTTTAAATATTGAAATTCTAATTAATTTAGAATATTTAAATTGTATTTTAAATTATATATTTTAAATTTACTTAATTACTTACTTTGAATAGGTACAAACCTCTTCTACAGTTTATTAAAATAAACAAAAATAAAGTTTATTATTATATTTTTATGTAATTTTACTGAAAAACTCATATCTGTGATTTTAATAGAACTTTTTATCATATGTATACAATTCAGCTATCAATCTTTTGGTTAATCAATTTAAGATTTTTTTCTTTTTTTGACAAAATGTTTATATTATACTAAATTTACCGTCTATAAATCTGAAAATAATTGTTTCTTTTAAAATATATTTTTATCTCATTGTGCAGTACTAAGTAAAGTAAATACATACATATATATCGACTAGTTTGTATATTTCTTTGACATTCTAATGAGCTCATTGTAAATATTTATTTTATACCACAAATAAATGAAAATCATTCCATTTAAAATACCACCTTCTAAGGCAGTTTTGTTTGAAAACCGTGTGTTTTAAGTTTCAATTGACTTAAAATAAATTCAATACATTTTGTCAAAACTTGGTAAGGGTAATAATTTATTATAACGAATTGGATTTAAAGCTGTTTATGTTATAATATATTATATTATTATAACTGTCTAGGTATTGTTTAATATTATTTGTCAAGCATTTTTACATCATATTTGTTTAGGTTAATAGACTAAAGTTAGTTGGATTATTTTAATACTTTTCTTATTTTTAGATTGAATTTAAATTATTGTATTTAAACTACACAATATTATTTTTGTATTTTTATCATGTTTTTTTTTAACAAAAGTCTGTCTTACATTTTATATCATTATTTTCGTATACAGTATGTCCCAAAAGTTTTGTATAACCCTTAATATCTCCATGAAAAATAAATATGTTTAAGCGCGGTTTTTTTTTTACAATACTAAGTATGAAAATTCTAATTGAATGACATAAAGTTCAATTAAAAAATTCAAAAATTATCAAAAATTTTTTTTATGCATTTAAGAATTTAAAATTTTTAAGTTAACTATTTTGTTGAATATAATTTTTTAAATAGTTCAAAAACAAATAAATATTAAAAATGAATAAAAATCGATTAAGTTAGATCAAGTTATGTATTTAAATAATTGTAATAAAAAAATTAATTGTTCCACATTTCAGTAATGAAATATCTATTTCAGCGCGACAATACTTTTACACGCCGAATTAAAGTTTTGAATTGAATAGAAATAAAAATAGCTATGTCTCATCTTAAATTTAATTAGATATGTAAAAGTATTTTCATATTGAAATAGATATTTTATTATTGAAATGTGAAACGATTCATTTTTTTATTACAATTATTCAAAAACATAATTTACTCTAACTTGGTCAATTTTTATTCAATTTTAATATTTATTTTTTTTGAACTGTTTTAAAAAATATGTAAAACAAAATGGCTATCTTAAAAGTTTAAGATTCTTAAATGGGTAAAAAAATTGAATTTTATGCCATTCAATCAGAATTTATATACGTAGTACTGTAAAAAAAAAGTGTTTACATTATATTGATTTTCCATGGAGATATTAAGGCTGATACGGGACTTTTGGGATGTACTGTATATATTTAAAAAAAAAAACTTTTAATTTGTTTGTTGATAAATTATTCCATACAAATTTTCGAGTAAAACTATTAAAATAGAATTTATTATACATAGTACATTATAATATAATATTCAATGACAATGCTTAGAATTATATTGCCACTGTACTAGTCATTATTAGCATTTTTTTTTACTTGACGTATTATAGGTAAAAATTATTTTTTATAATATAAAAACTATTGAGTTATAATAATGAAAAAAAAAAAAAAAATTGTGTAAATATACGTTTCACGTGTAGGTAATTTAATTTTTTTTTTTATAAAAAATTTTCTAAACTAGATAAAAGAATAATTTATGCGTAGTAGGAATTAGATTTGTTATAAAGCATCCTAATAATTATATGGAAATGTAAATGGAAATTCACATCACCATGACATTAAAAGGAAATGGAAGCGAAATGTTATGACGTTAAACAGTTGTATATTATATATTTTCCGCATACAACGTAGCTATAATAGTTAAAACTATTTGGTGACTAGGTATTTTATTTTGGTTTCATAAATCAAAATAAAATACAATACACTAAGATATATCTAAAACCACCAGTTGATATATTTTATATTTTACAGTAACTAATAAAATAGTTTTCAAATACTTTATTTATTTGATTTTTTTTCCTGTTTATCAAAATTATATTATAGTTGTTTCATAATTAATGTTTCGTGATCCACACATAAATAAAGTGTACTCATAAAAGTCAAATTTATTTTTATTATTAAAACTTGAATAGTAGTTATGTGACTATAGTAATATATTTTTTTATTTTCATAATTCATTGACAATATTGATGAGTTATATTAGTGGCCATTATATAAAAATGTAATTTACAGATAGCAAAAAATGAGGAGGAAAATTATAGATTAAAAAAATTATAATTTAACATTTTTCGTTTTATCTTATCTATTATTAAGGTATATAACATGTATTTCATAAATTATGTTTTACTTTTTTTTTTCTGAATTATTCTTAAGTATTTACTTTGTGACAACATATATTGATGCTATAGATATACTTGAATAGTAAAAGAAATAATATAATATATTTAAATTTTGAAATAAATTAAGAAATCGTTACTGATTTGTCAGCTTTAATTTTCATTCACCAGTTAAAGTTCAAATAAGATTGAATTGACATTGTAAATTTGATATAGAATTATTAAGAAAGACTAATACTACCGTTATGTCATCAACATAAATGGATAACGTCGTTATGAATTTGCTGGATGTAATTGATGATAACGTTGACGAGTGGTGCAAAAAAGGGAACTAATTGGTTAAGATAGTAAATACTTATTCAATTTCAAATCAACTAAAATTAATTTTCCGATTTAGTTTATTTTTAATATACGACAGTAGAATTAACGGTATTGTTGTCATCAGACAACATAGTATAGTTGCGTGGGTCGCTTTTATGTATAATGTGAAAATCAGTTTTTAGATTTTAATTCAATGTGGCACGTTCTTATACTAAACAGGTACTTAAAATAATACGTGACTGAACTCCACGATAATGGATCAGACTCAGCGTTACAAGTTTGCCATATTCGCATAGGAATAGTTAGTTGGAGTATCCCCAACATCTATATACTGCAACAAATGTAAAAAAATTCGAAATTAATTCATTTTTACAACTTTTTATTGGGCGTTTTTAATTTCCTGGGCTGGATGGTCGGCGATGTCATAGTTGGGATTCGCGAACAATAAAATTATCTTGCGCCACTAAGACAAATCAATTTAAATTTAATTATAAATCCAACCGCGTCTTAATAATGCGATAAAATTGTCATTATATTATAGTCATCTAAACAATCTTGCGTAATTGCGGTCCATGAATATCCCCACGGACAGCTACCTGCTCGGCATCTACGGGTTGTTTCTTCTGAAAATAAACATTTACAATTCACGCGGTATACACTTCATCGTTTCGCTCGCGTCTCGCCAACTATACCGTGATTGAACCAAAACTTGATTAAGCAAAGCGCACGGTGAATTAAATAATAATTAAGTAATTGTATATATATATATTGAAGAAAAAACAAGCAATCTTACATGTACATTTTCCAACATGGATAGCGGTTTTGTTGAAATATTATATATCAGATTTGTGTTCATAAAAGTCATGGCATACCGTAATTTACCACGGTGACACTATTTTGTCGAATTTAATAATATTTGTTCCAGCGTATTGAAACGCTTAAATTATATACTGATTGATGTTCAAGAAAATCGGAATTTTTATGTTATAGAAGCACTAATATAAATATAATATAAAACACAGAATGTTCTAATATGTTAGATATTTTTCGTCGTTATAAATTGATAATATTTTATTAATTTAAGATTAGTTGTTGGAAAAAAAATCAATGAATTGTACATGTGAAGATAACATTGTTTTTATTGTTATTATACATAAGACTAAAGAAGTGGTTAAAAAAAAAAAATGAGAATCGGGCTTAGCTAAAATCTAAGAAAATTCAAGCATTTAGCTAAATTTATGCAAATTGATATAATAGTATTGTGTACAAATAAGGAGTTGACCAAGTTAAGTTTAATTCAAGAAAATATAAGAATATAAATTATAATTAAAACATAATTGCATTATTCGTTAAGTTATATTTTTAATTGTTTAAGACATTCAAATTATCAGTTTATTACGACTACAGTAAAACGATTTTTTGAGTATAAACAGTTTCAAAAGCTCTTGATATTAATAGCTATGTAATATTCGACGTCAATATTAAACCCGATCATGTATAAAACGTATACATCTGATATTTGGCTTTAGAACTTGTTCAACCTTCGAAATGGCTCATTTGAAAGGGATAAGATAATATCGAATGTCATTATTTTCGTAGTTTCATGATCCGTGTCATTCAAATACCCACTTGACTGCACGTCTAAGCCCGATGGCTTCATGAAACTTCTGAAATGAAATCCTTATGGGATTTTGGCAACAGACCGAAGAAATAAATTAACTATATATAATGTTTGTTAATAGTCGTAA